CAAATAAAAAATAATAACATAAATTAAAATGTAAATATTTGCTCAGTTATTACATTAATTTTAGTGCTGTCAATCGATTAATCGCGATTAATCGCATCCAAAATAAAAGTTTTTGTTTACATAATATATGTGTGTGTTCTGTGTATATTTATTATTTATATATCAGTACACACACATATAGTATATGTTTCAGAAACATGTGTTATGTTTATATATTAAATATATTTATATATAATATAAATTATATGAATATAAATATATACATGTAAGTATTTTCAAAATATATACTGAATATGTATGCGTTTATACATATTTATATAATAAATATACACAGAACACACACATATATATATTATGTAAACGAAAACTTTTATTTTGGATGCGATTAATCGCAATTAATCGATTGACAGCACTAAATTAAATTAAGTGTTTTATGTTGTGTTGTTGTTGCTCAAGGGTTCCCCCTGCTGGCATGGAGGCTCATATTCCTGTGCTGTTTCTGGATCTGAATGGTGAGATATATTGATCTTCAGGGTTCAAGGGCTGAAGGTTTTTCTGGTTTGCGTGACTCTGTCAGATCAGTGATTTAGGCTGGTTTGCTTGTGACGGTTATTTTATCTGTAATGTGTGTTTTGCAGCTGATAACCTGACGGTGAACGATCAGCTGACCGGTCCTCACGCCGCCGGTGTTAACTCAATCCTCCCCAAAGAGCACGGCAGCCCGTTCTTCTACCTGCCCATCAACAGACACAGCCATGACGAGGTGACAGGAGTTACACCTGTTCAAATGTGTTTACACCTGTAGGATTTCTCAAATGTCAAATGTAACATCCTGGGGGATATTTGTAGCAATAGCCAAAAATACATTGTATGGGTCAAAATTATCGATTTTTCTTTTATGCCAAAAATCATTAGGATATTAAGTAAAGATCATGTTCCATGAAGATATTTTGTAAATTTCCTACCGTAAATATATCAAAACTTAATGTTTGATTAGTAATATGCATTGCTAAGAACTTCATTTGGACAACTTTAAAGATGATTTTCTCAATATTTAGATTTTTTTGCACCCTCAGATTCCAGATTTTCAAATAGTTGTATCACGGCCAAATATTGTCCTATCCTAACAAACCATACATCAATGGAAAGCTTATTTATTCAGCTTTCAGATGATGTATAAATCTCAATTTCAAAAAATTGACCCTTATGACTGGTTTTGTGCTCCAGAGTCACATATATGACTGATGTAGCGTTCACGTGTCTTGATTTCTCTTGCTCTCAGGTGTCGGCTGTGTGTTCCTGGGATTCCTCCATCCACGACTCCATCCATCTGAACCGGATCACGGCACCCAGCGAGCGGATCTACCTGATCGTGAAAGCCACGGTTCAGCTCAGTCACCCGGCGTCTGTGGAGCTGGTGCTGCGCAAGAGGATCGCCGTCAACATCTACAACAAACAGGTCTGGAAACACTGGGAGGCTTCCATACACTAACATCTTAAGTACTTTGTGGAAACAATAATTATTGTGCACTGCTGTTTCACATCAACTCTGCGTCTGAAACTCTGATTTCCCTCCTTTCAGTTGCCATTAGTATTCTCACATTTCTTCTTGTTAATTATTTGATTCATTTTTATATTTTATGTACACTATCCGTCAGTAAGATTTTTAATGTTTTTTTTAAAGAAGTTATTAAATATTGAAATTACTTAAGATTAATGAATGTTTAGAAGAATATTTCATTGACAGTTTATGTTAACTAATGAATTAACTAATGTCAATTAATAGAGCCTTAATGTAAAGTGTGACCAAACAATAAAGAATCAAAACGCTTTCAAACAATATCTAGGGCATATTGTAGTCCAGATTAAAATGTAAAAAAAGTTTGAAAATAAATAGCCAATTAAGTCTAAATATTTAAGTATTTGGCGCTGTGATGAACACCACTGCGAATACAAAAATCTGAATGGCTATTTAAACCATTTAAATACGTAAAAGTAGTGCAGCTTGTGCAATTAGTGTGCATTTGTGCAAGTACAATCCGTGCTTGTTTACATCAGAGTGCACACGCGTCTTTAACGCAGCATACAGCGGTGTTGTGCATTGTGACCAGTTGATGGGAAAAGTATTCTTAAAATGCATAAAAAAAAATCTGAATAATTTGTTATAAATAATTATTCACTGTATTTTGAAGTGCCCACAATAACAATATCATGCATGTTCATTATCGTGATATATCGCATTACCGAATACCGGCACATGTCTAGATCAAATAAATGCAGGCTTGGTGAGCAAAACTTTTGACTGGTAGTGTATTATCTTGTTTAATGTAAATACATGACGGATGTCTTATAGAGTTTCACTCAGAGCCTGAAGAGACGGATGTCTTTGAAGAACGTTCTGTACTCCTGTGGAGTGACGTATGAGATTGTGTCCAACATACCAAAGGTACAAACGTCACACTGTTTCCTCTTCATGTTTGTCTTTCTGAATGCACTGATCACACACCTGCTGTCTTCATGAGCAGGCGTCTGAGGAGCCGGAGGAGCGCGAGACTCTGGCCTTGATGGCGGCGCGAGGAGAGAGTGAGGAGACACTCGGTGGAGAGACATACATAGAGAAATACACCAGAGGAGTCCTGGAGGTGGACAATATTCTGTGTCTGGAGAGACTGCGGCAGGTTTGGCTTCACTTTAGGACTGATTTCTCTCACTATCTGCTGGAGTGTTTTGTAGAGTTCGACCGATTCACACTGTTTCCTCTTCATGTTTGTTTTTCTGAATGCACTGATCACACACCTGCTGTCTTCATGAGCAGGCGTCTGAGGAGCCGGAGGAGCGCGAGACTCTGGCCTTGATGGCGGCGCGAGGAGAGAGCGAGGAGACACTCGGTGGAGAGACATACATAGAGAAATACACCAGAGGAGTCCTGGAGGTGGACAATATTCTGTGTCTGGAGAGACTGCGGCAGGTTTGGCTTCACTTTAGGACTGATTTCTCTCACTATCTGCTGGAGTGTTTTGTAGAGTTCGACCGATATAGTTTTTTATTTTTTTTAATCTATACCGATTATTTGCATGATTTTGTGCACGATAACCGATATTCAGAACTAGGGTTGTGACGGTGAGGACATTTTCCCACCGGTTAATCGACCCGTTTACCAAGAAATTTTGGAGCACTTCATGTTTCCTTCTACTGACCAGCTTTTTGAAGATGCTGATTTCATTTTCCAGCAGGATTTGGCACCTGCCCACACTGCCAAAAGCACCAAAAGTTGGTTAAATGACCATGGTGTTGGTGTGCTTGACTGGCCAGCAAACTCACCAGACCTGAACCCCATAGAGAATTAACTTTTATTAACAAAACAAATAAAAATATACCATGCTATAGGGCAAGCTATGCCTAATATAAAATAACAAATAACTTACATAAAGTTTAATAGGTATACAAAACTGGAAATAAGTAAACATGTATAATATATAACCAAATAAATAAGAAACGTAGAACGTTTATTAGCAAAACGAATGTCAAATAAAATAAATAAATGACATAGTTTAAATAAAGTAAAAATCAGCAAACAATGTGGAACCAATTAAATAAGAAACGAATGTTTAAAAAAACTTCCAAAATCACCTTAGATAAACGGCAAAAGTCAACAGGCTTTTCAAAATCCAAAATATTGCCAAACAGGCGCTTATGCATCTAGTTTCGAAACTAAATCATCCGCCATCGTCTTGTCTGTCTAGCCTCACTCTTCTTGTCAATATTTATTTATTGTTTTACTTCTATCTGCTGTTTCTGTTAGTGTTTAGTAGAGATCGAATGATATTGAGTTATTTGCATGTTTATATGCCCGATAACCGATATGCAGAACCAATATTTATTTAGTTTTTTTTTTTTTTACCGATTTTTTTTATTTTTATAACCGATACTGATACAGATTATTTGCATGTCTATGTGCTGATAACCGATATGCAGAACCAACGTTTATTTATTATTTAACTTCTAACTGCTGTTTCTATTGGAGTGTTTAGTAGCGATAGACTGACATTGATTTTTTTTAATAACCAATGCCGATATAGATTATTTGCATGTTTATGAGTCTGATAACAGATATGCAGAATCATTATATATTTAGATTTACTTCTGTCTGCTGTTTCTGCTGGAATGTTTAGTAGAGTTCGACTGATATAGTTTTTTTTTTTTTTCGAAACCGATTATTTGCTTGTTTTTGTGCACGATAACCGATATTCAGAACCAATATTTATTTATTGTTTTACTTCTATCTGCTGTTTCTGTTAGTGTTTAGTAGAGATCAAACGATATTGATTTTTTTTTATAACCAATGCAGTTATTTGCATGTTTATATGCCCGATAACCGATATGCAGAACCAATATTTATTTAGTTTTTTTTATAACCGATACTGATACAGATTATTTGCATGTCTATGTGCTGATAAACGATATGCAGAACCTACGTTTATTTATTGTTTAACTTCTAACTGCTGTTTCTGTTGGAGTGTTTAGTAGCGATAGACAGACATTGATTTTTTATGTAACCGATACGGATACAGATTATTAGCAGGTTTATGTGCCCAATAACCAATATGCAGAACCAATATTTATTGTTTTACTTCTATCTGCTGTTTCTGCTGGAGTGTTTAATAGAGATTGACTGATATTGTTTTTTTTTCTCTAACCGATAACGATTACTTTCCCTGAAATCTTTAACTCAAATCTCAAAACGATCACATGATGGCGGCATTTATTGGTGGATCCAATATTTCAAAACAATATCCAGTTATGAAAAATGCTTAAATATCGTGAAAGATATCAGTCAAACCGATTATCGGTTGATCACGCGTTTAGTGTGTGTTTGTGTGTTCATTCAGGCCGTGACGGTGAAGGAAGCTCTCTCCGCTAAAGGCAGACACATACGGCGCAGTCTCAGCACGCCCAACGTCCAGCACGTAAGACCAGATCTACCGTTTACTAGTGTACAGAAACAAAATACTGTGCATTGTGTAACAGGACTATAATATATATTTGTTTAGAGCTCTTGTTGTAAATCGGACGGGACCGGATGTGAGGATGAGGATGTGAAGGTTAGTGATCACTTACTATAGACAGTGTGTTTGTTGTGAATGTCTCTGTCTGAGCGTTGACTTTATTTCCACAGACTCACTGCGATGGTCACACAGACGTCACCGAATCCAACTTACATGAAGCTTCACTCAACAGTCCTCTGTCAAAAGACATGCCTGTCAAAAACAAAGAGAATCACGGTAAAGTGTGAACCTGGCTTTCACCCGAGATTATTTGAAAGACTTTTTTTTTTAAGCTAACATTCTAATTTTATAAAACCCATTACTGTAGTTACAACAATATTAAATTATTGAAGATTATTACTAAACAATTTAAACAACTAAACAATGTATTATGATTATTAAACAAAATTTTTTTTTAATGATTTTTAATAATTTGAAAAAAAATTCTTATTGGTGTTAAATGGTGCATGTAACTTTTCAACAATTAAAAATAAAAGAAAATAGTGAATCAAAATTTGGTTTGTTATTATTATTGTTATGAACTATTATTTTATAATAATAATAACATTTATTATGTGTTTCTAAGAGTGTTGAAAAGCTACGTTTACAATATTTTCTCCATTGTGGGCTTATCTTCCACCTTGACCTTTTTCTTTTATAGTGAATTTAAGCAATCTTATGCATCATTTCATGCAAACGTTTTCCTCAGGATTAAGATTAGTACATTATTATTAGTAGTAGTAAATGGTACTTTTCAACACTTATAAAAAATAAAATTAAAGTAAAGAAATATTTATAATTAAATAGAAATTATGATTGTTCTTAAATACTATTTTATAATAATAATAAAAATTTAGACACCCTTATGCATCATTTCATGCAAACATTCTCCTCAGGATCGGTGCCAGAGAGTCCAACGTTCTTCAACTCCAGTCCGTTTAAGGTTCTGTCTCCTCAACCGCCCAAGTTCCTCAAATCACTCTTGCCAGTGAAGGAGGAGAACAAAGTCAAGCGTTCTCTGGAGTCACGGCCTCTGCTGGGACAGGAGGTAATACACACACACACACACACA